CCTCAAAGTGCTCTTGGTGTCAGCACCTCTTCTTCATGGGCCCATGTAACACCAACAACCAAATTATAAATCCTTTATAAAAGGATTTATCCCTCTGCTGAATGAGCTTGCAGGAGAAGCCCAGACACAGCGCACTGGCTGTGGCACCTTCTCTGAAGGTCTGTTGCCATCAATCTTGACCTGCTAATGTCACAGGGTTAAAAATATACTAGGTGCAGAATGGCCGGTAAATGCTGGTTTTGTCACCATGGAAGAATGACGTGGTGGCAGCGATCCAAACATCATCCCCTCTGCTGTGATGGCTGCTGCTCGCGTACCGGCCATTGTCCAAAGAAGTGTCTCATTGTGTGGCTCCACGTGTATGTTTTTCCTCACCGCTGCCAGCTTGTCTTTAAGGAGAGACATTGCACACAGGTGGAAAGTCACTTGGGTACCTCCCTATCACACTAAACTGGAGTCCACGCTACCACGTAATTTGAAATCAAAGTTAAATGTTTTTTGTTTTTAGGAGTGCCAAATCCCAATGCTGTATTTAAATCGGCGGGAGATTTTCAGGGGTACTTCTCACTGCATTAGGCTTGTTGTTAACTTGCTTAGGACCACCGTTGACAAGGGTGCTGCAAATCCCAGGTATCCCCATGCCTCTCCTTCCCCTCCTCAGAAACTGGGACTCTGCGACTGCTGGTGAGCGTGCCGGGCTTACCTGTGCATGGTCAGGCACAGAGGAGGGGTTATCATACAAATACGCACCCTGGGTTATGGGCCACAAAGCTAAGGCGTCCAAGGTTAGATACTTTTTATTTTGGGCTCTGGATCCTGTTTTGGTGTCAGCAACCTTGGCAAAGCATCAGGGTGGGTGAGAGAAATCAGAGCGGGATGTTTTTGGGTTTGTCAGGTTTTCTTCCATGTCCTGTCCGATGCCTGTGTTGGTGCAAAGATGGGCTGGCCTCCGGGTAATACAGTTGTCCCCAGCAGGGATTAGAGGAGAACAGGGGACGATGAGCGTGTCGGGGTGGCATGCTTCTGGCTCCTATGCCACCCGGGAAACATGCGGCTGAGCAATGCCTGCAGCTTAACCACGAAGCTGCTATACGTGCAAACCGGGACTTGTTCCTTGAGAAACACGCTGCCATGCCCTCCACCTGCCCTGCTGGCTGAAACCTGGGCAGGGCACTAAGGGCTACCGGTGAAATGTTGGTCTGGCTGAATTCACTGGCAAAACTTTAGAGCTTCATTGGAGCATCTCCGTTTCCCCAAGAGGCAGTGTGAGTTGTTTCCCAGCCTGAGAGTGCCCTCTGGCGTATGCAGGAGACAGTAAAGCTCTTAATTTATCGAAGTAGTTTTTCTTGGCTTCCTCCTTTTCTTAATACTTTGCAAGCAGCGTGGTTAATCGTTGAAGGCTGCCAGGTAGGTGCATGCCATAAAGCACCGAGAAGTGAGCTCCAGACCAGTCCTGTGTGTCATCTGCGTTTATACACCTAGCAGCTGATGATCATTTTTTAATTATACACGCATATCAAACAGGAGGCTTTTGGGCCCTGTTGTCTTGGTTCCGATTTCCTTCCAGCAATGCCTGGCAGGTCCCCAAAACCAGCCTGCGGCAGGACCTGCTCTGGCTGTGCCTGGGCAGTGCTGCTCCCCCTGCCCCGGGTGCTGCCTCCGGGCATGTGCTTGGCGCTCCTTGATGGAGCAGACCAAGCAGAGCCACTCCAGTGCTAGGCTGCATTTCAAACCCCTGGCTGAATAGGGAAACTGGGCTGCAAAGAGGTAGGAGCAGCTTTTTATAAACAAACAAAACCCAGCCCTTTCTCCGGGGGGAAGGCAGGGCATTTAGAAGATGTGGCGGCAGCGTGAGCATGTGTTGCCATAGTTATGTGGAACTGAAAACAGACGGCGAATGTGAGGCATAAACACAAAACCTGCAGCAAATATAAATCTTCCGCATGTGTAGAGTCCTTTCTTGGAAAAACTTTGTCATCTTATCTCTGTTAGGACATTCTGGTTTGAAAAAAAAATTTTTTTTTAAAATGCTTTCAAATTTTTGTTGGCAGCTGCATTAATGAATATGCTGGTAGGGAGCAGAGAGAAGCGTGTTTGGCGCTCTGGTGTTGCACTCTGCTGGAGGCAGACCTGGTGGTCGGGTATTGCAGTGGCTTATCCGGCAGCTGCTGGTTGGTGGCACCTTCTAGTGGAACAGCATGGGAGGTGACATTTTGAGGAATGATGTCAAGTATGGATCACCCTCTGCATGCCCTTTCTTCTCCTTGCTCCTCTCCTGGGGTGTTTTCCAGCGTGAGTCAGAGTACCCTTGCTCTTGCCAGGTTATTTTGTGTTGTAATCTGCCAGGAGGTGGTCCAGGCTTCCAAAGGTACCTCCTCCTGCCTGGAGGTGGGACTGTTGTTGGGATCCAGCGATTGGCATTCATCAGCAACCGCCAGTGGAAGAGGGGATGGGGTTAGTCGTGGAGGCTGGGAAGACCTGTGCTGGGGTTGGATGCTCTTCTCTGGCTGTGCGGCAGCTGTGCTTGGATGTCCTCATTGTTGTTTGCTTCTCAGCAGCCAGTTTTTGCTCACATTTTCTCCCCGCTGTCTGCTGACCTTTCTCTTCTCTCTGTGGTTTTTCCTCAGGTCGAAAGCTGAGAGGAAAAGCCTTTTATTTTGTCAATGGCAAGGTGTTCTGTGAAGAAGATTTCCTGGTAAGCACGCAGCTGACCCTTGTGCTGGCACGTCTCAGCCCCTCTGGCAGACGCGCAGCCTTTCTGCCCGGAAACTTTGCCTATGTTTCACACGGCTCTAGTCCGGCATCCTGCCTGGCCCTTCTGCTTCCCCTTTACCCAGGGCCAGCCCCAGCCATGGTGGCCACCCACGTGTGGTGCTGGAAGTAGCTGAGTGAAAGACCATGGTTTTGCAGTGCAGAGCCTGTAGTTGAAGCCGTAGCCTCTTGCGATGGCTCCTTCGAAGTGTATCTTTGTGGCCATGCTGTGGAGACAGGAGCGAGATGAACGGCTGCAGAAGAATCAATGAGTGTATTTCCCTTTCCAATGAACTTGTTTTGGTTGGGCGTCTTAATGGATATCTTTCCATGGCCCTCAGTGGATTTTCTGTGAACATACCTGAGCATGAAGCAACCCCATGGTCCTCTCCTTGGCTGGTGGAGGTAAAAAGCCATATACCCCCCTGCCCTCAAGCCCTCGTAGATTAAGCCTTCATTGAGACTTGAAAAAGTCATATTTGCCTATTTATTGGGGAAGTCTAGTGATTTCTGTCAGACAGAAGTGAGTTAATCTTCTTTGCTCTCATCAGTATATTCTACACAGGGTGAAAATGGAAAGATTGGTTAAATGCATCTAAAGTATTTCATTTTTCCAGTTTGCATTTCCACCATTCAGACAGGACTGAAACCTTAGACAGATGATGTCTTGTGCATGTTGTGGACATGACAGGCAGTTTCTTACCGTTAGATCTTAGCAATAGCAGCAAGAAAGGTGCTCTGGGCCAAACTTGAATGTTATATTACCAGAGAGCTGGGACAATACCACTGACCTCAGAGGAGCTCCAGTAGACCTATAACGGTGTAACCAAAGGAAGAATTTGGCTTTCTGAGCCTGTATATACAGACATTGTGATAAAGTAAGTTCCTGGCGTGTAGATCCACATGGTCAAATAAGAATGTAAGTCTTATTAGCAAATGCCTTATTTGCATGTGCATTTATGGTATTTACTTATATACTTAATTAAACTTAAATTGAAAGTTACAGGAACTCATGTGCCTTCTGAACAGTGGAAGTCTGATGTCTTTATAGAATATCCTCTGGGGACCCATCCACAGCTTCATATACTGAAAAAAGCACTGGAAAGTTTAGCTTGTGTAAGGAGTACAGAAAAAGGCCAAGCAAATAACGTCCCATAATATGCTGTTGTTTATGCTCAACTAGCCTTGTGAAATTTTAAGCCAATTCTTTTTTATCCTTGCAGTATTCTGGTTTCCAGCAGTCAGCTGACAGGTGTTTCATTTGTGGTCATTTGATAATGGACATGGTAAGTGATAATTGCTTTAGGAGAAAAAATCCCACAGCTTTTTAGAAGAATGCATCAAAAGCGAAATATATTCATTTCCAGTACTGTCTGTTATCATCTGGTAGTCTGCCTAGTGTGAGATTGGTAGCAGAAAGAAAATCCGCTAAGCCTTTTGTTGATTTTTGCAAGGAAGTAAAACTGGCACCCTGCTGTATGTGATGCAGAGACTTTGCTCTGCCTGTTTTCAGTGCAAATTGAAAATCAGAGCCTTCATCTCTTTCATCCCCTTTCAAGCTTCCCTGGACAGTGTATTTGTAATCCTGTGAATGCTTCCTGCTCAGAAGTGCCATGGCTCTGCCGTGCTCCCTTGCTGTGGGGCATCAGTGCAGCTCTGCTGAGCCTGTCTTTCCTGTAGTCAAGCCGTGGCTTCCCACGTACCTTCAGGATGAAGCTGCTGCTTGTTGTGGGTGCTCGAAGGTGTTGGGCTGATAGCTTGGGGAATAGGTTCGACCCAGAGTTATGTGATCCAGACCTCAGTTCAGATCTGTCCGAGTCCTTGAAAACTGTTCAGGAGATGTGTGGACATCCGGCTGAAGGCAGGCAGTTCTCATTAGCCTACAACAGGTACCATCCGTTCAAGATTTGCACGGAGTGGGTCACAGCTCAGGGAGTCAGCTGGCCTTTAACCAGCACCGGGCAGCATTCAGTTGTGGGTGATTCAGAGGGAGACAAATTCGTGGTCATGTAGCTGGTGAGCTACAGCTGAGGCAAAGAAGTTAGGAATTTCTGAGTGGTTAGTTCACAGCACGCCTCCCAAGATTTTCTAGTGCTTATCGTTAATTATCTTTGCTTGCCTGCTTACACTGGCAAAATAGCTTTAAAATTGGAAAAGCTATTTTACACTCAGAAGTGGTATTCCGGGTAGTAATTGCTGCCCCAAAGCCAGCAGGTGAATTGCGGCTGTTGAGTTCAATACAGTTTCCATAGTCTGTGTTAATTAGAAAGCCAGGCTAGTGAGTACAAAGCTCTTGGATATCTAAGCCATTATGAAAACCTAGCAATAGTATTTGTTTCAGCCTCTCATGGAGAATATAAAGATGTATTTCCTTTTGTTGGCCTGGTACGTCTTGCCTTGTGATCCTGCTAAGAATTCTCCAACTGTTGGCTCCAGAAATTATTTTATTTCCTTTAGATTCTGTCACTTCTATCCTTTGTAATGCTAAATACCCTGACTGAGACTCTTAATTGTTTTCTTACCCACGCTAATAATTCATTTCTCTGGAACCAGGTGATATATATTGATTCCAGCTGCCCTTTCCATCCCTGTTAACTCATTTTTCAGATGAGATGCCCAAAAAAAGACACAGCCCTGCTGATGAATATGCAGCATTGTCTGATGTGAAGCTGTGTGTTTATTATTTTCACCTTTATTGGCTGTTCGCATGCTTTTTTTCCTGTCTCTTGGTTTGTTGCAGATCCTGCAGGCTCTAGGGAAATCATATCATCCAGGCTGCTTCCGATGCGTGGTCTGCAACGAGTGTCTGGATGGAGTGCCATTCACTGTAGACTCTGAAAACAAAATCTACTGTGTCAGAGATTACCACAAGTAAGGACAAAATAAACAGCAGAGATGCTCCAATCAACAAGCCTCTAATTTAGCTTTTCAGCTAATTAGGAAGCATGGATTAGTAAAATAGGGACAGGATTAGAAGGTAGAAGTTTGAGGATGGGGCTAGACCCTAGAAATTCCTGATGTCTCTCCTCTTGCCCTGCCATTGACTTCCTGTGTAACTCTGAGGAAGTCACTTAACCCCTTGGCTTCAGCTGCCCCTTCTGCAAAGCAAAGATAGTGAGAAATAGTGCTCATGAAGTGTTCAGTGATGTAAGAAGTCAGTCCACTCTAAAGTAAGACTGTGAATGCCTGTTGAAATCAACGTGAGTTGCTTTTTGAGTAGTTGCAGGGCTGAGTTTGACTTTTAAAGAATGCTTTTAGAAATCAAAGTGAACCTTTTATCCAGCTCTAAATTAAACAACTGATAAATCCACTTAAAAACCCACTTGTCATTTAGTAAAATAAAATGGCTGTGCTCTTAGCTGGTAGTTATGATATTAGAGTGCATGCATTTTGAGTGTCCGTTTGGCTCGCTTTGCTCCTTGCTCCATTTTTTGAGCAGGCAGAGTATTAAGTGTTGCTCAGGCAGCCCCGGGAACCGTTCTGTGTTGTGCCAAGATTAGAGTTGCCTCCGTGTGCCACCGTTGTTCTGAGATGATGCACGTTTCCTTGCTATTTCATTTAATTATTTACTTATCACGTTATGTTGTGTTATAAGGCCTTAGGGAACCTTACGGTCCCATGGTGTTTTCCCTGAGGTTTCCTGCCCCGGTGCAAGGCTGCCATTTCTTTTAATGTGTTTTTCTGGGGAGGGTCCCGCTCAGTTTCTTCTCACTCTCTCTTCCAAATCTCTCAGTAGCAGCCAAGAATTCTACAGTGGGTTTGTTTTTTTTTCTGGCACTAAATGTAAAATGAAAATCTCTTTTTTCCTGACTGAGCAATGTGTGCCAAGCATTACTTACAATCAATCCTAAAATGAATTTATGATCTCGAGATGTAAAGCTTTCCTTTGGATAAGTTAGTTACAGCTGCAGCTTTTCGTCTTATCACTGAGAACATACAGGCCTCTCTTTTTATGTTGATCTATAACTTGCCTTCACTTTCTCGTTGCTCTTCCAGAGTTTTAGCTCCAAAGTGTGCAGCGTGTGGACTTCCCATTCTGCCCTCTGAGGTGAGAGCCTTTTATTTCGTATCCCCTCTGGGGAGGGAGCATCATGTCTCAGGCCTTGCTCTCTTTCACGCTTGACCCTACGTCAAGATGAATGTCCTTGGGGATGGGGAGAGATGATTGCTTCCTCCAGCATGCAACCTTTTGACCCAGGCTCATACACTGCCCTTGAGATGTGACCCTTCTTTTTCGTGATAACGAAGCTTATTTCTGCTGAGCCAGGCTGCTTTTTTCACCTCCCGCAGGATTATACTGCTGTTAGTTTTATGTTCGAGATACCTTTCCTTCATGTCAATAAATGCTGGTGGTGCTCATGAGTGAGCTCTGTGTGACTCCTCTGGGATGAACTCATTTTAATACTTGAAGGAGATGAATTTTGGGCAAAACCAATTTAAAATGCTGAGAAATGTGATATATTGAAATTACCAAATCATTAGTCATTTAACAGCCTCATTTGGGATAGATGTGACTGTTAAACAGAGAGAATTTAACATTTCTGATGTTACATTGTAGAGGATATCTGCAGTCGACGATGAAGCTTTACTGTAAAAATAACTGCAGGTGGCAGGATTTATTTGTGGTGGCTAGCCAGCAGCTCAAATGCGTTTGTTAAACATTCACGTTGTTGCAGGAAGCAATCTACAGAGTGCATGTGTCTGATCCTGCTGTAATCCTTTGTAATTTCTCTTTTGCTTGAATGCTTACAGGGGTCTGATGAGACCATTCGGGTTGTGTCCATGGACAAGGATTACCATGTGGAATGTTATCACTGCGAGGTAGGTCAGCAGCTTTCTCAGGGAGTGGGCACTTAATAGTGATAACTACTATTATTTTTAAGATGGAAATAAATCTCCTCCCTTCCAATGGCAGTAGATGGGCAATTCAAACCTTGCATTGTGCGACCCTTTCTATCAGTGGCTGAGAAATTTCCAGTTAAAGGACAAAAGGTTTTGCAGCAATGTGTCTCAGCTGCGATTTCATTTGCTATCCATAAAATTATGGGCAAAGAGTTAATTATCAGTTTTAAACTTGGCAGTTTATTTGTTAATGAAGAAAACGTGGTGACTTGGTAAGGTTCTGTTGCTGCCTTTCAGAAGCCTTGAGCTCCAGATCACATTAGTGTATCTGATTTCCAAGTCAGAAGGTTCGAAAATGCTAAGGTGATGACTGATCCTGTCTGGTGTAAGTTACCTTCACTCTCATGGGAAGTGAATGTGTCATTGGGGCTGGAGAAGGGATATGGCTGCACAAAAAAAGCCCAAGAGATGCCAGCTCTTAAACACCGTTTGGTCTCTGTGCAGGGCTTCCCAGAGAGCCTTCATACTCCTGCTCTGTGAATTAAAATAAATAGATGTCTTCTCTCACTGTGCTCGTATGCAGTGGAAAGAGGCCCTGACTCAGCAGGCCGGTTTCACATCAGTACAACTGCAATTAATGTAATGTGAAGAGGTGAATCCTACCTGAGAGTGTAAGGAGACGCGAGCACGTTTAAAATACGTAGGGTTGCACCTCGCCACGAGATAAAGCTTATTCAGTAAAACTGCATAAGACAAATTTGTACAAGGCTGCCCCTCAAAATGCCTATGTGAGATGCTTTCCTTCTTGTGGCAAATGTTGGACTTACTAGGAAGGAGCTGTTGGCTGGGTGTCTCCTATCCTTGTCACAAAATCACGCTCCCGGAAGCCAGACCCCGCTTAACACTGGAAGATGGACACATGCTCTAATAATTTGCACGGCCTCTCTTTGCAGGACTGTGGGATGGAACTGAATGATGAAGACGGGCATCGCTGTTACCCGCTAGATGAACATTTGCTTTGTCACTCCTGTCATCTGAAACACATAGAGAACGGCACTACCCCAGCAGCTGTGTACCAGCACCACTACTAGCCAGTGTGGCCGACATGGGAAAGCCCAGACAGAAGACTTGTTACGTGATCTCCCTCTCCCCACCCTCAGTTGATTTCCTGTGCATGTTTTTCGCCAGTCGGCAATGCTCCTGTAAAAGGATATGAGAGATTTTTGCTGGTTTCCCAGAGTCTGTATGCTTGTGAGTTCCAGCTGTATCAAACCATGTCTACTTGACCAAGAATGTGGCATGTTATCTAAACTGATCGGTTTACTTTTACGTGCCTTTTTCTGCTCTCTGGAGATTCCTCTTCGCTCATTTCAGAAGATTCTTCAGTGAAAGCACAACTTGCTGTCGTGCCTATGAACTCAGATCGTGCCATGCCCAATTAAAAAGCCAGAGGCTGGCTTGCCTGCCTGCCTGCCTGCCGGAGACATCCCATCAGTCCACTGAGTGTTTCCTGACAAGCACATTTCATCAGATTCCCTGAAGGACATCAATCTATTAATACCAGTTTTTAAACACTCTCTCTCTTTTTATTAATTCTTTAGGAAAAGTAAAGAAAGGGGTCTGTGCAAAATGGCGTGCTCAGACCTTCCAGTTAATTCCCCGAACTCAGGTATCACGTCTGGCTGTAAAAGCACCAACTCTCCAAGCACAAACCAGACGTGCTGGCTGGCAGGTGGAGGCCAACATCCCATTTCAAAGCGAACAAAAAACTGGAACAAGCTAGGCTAAGCTACCCCGGTGACTTGGGGCCCAGGCTTGTGTGTCAGCATGATACACAGGGGCCAGTCTGCTGTGTCAGAGACTGAATAGCGGATTGTATTTGGAAAGGAAAGGTCGGCATGCTGAAAGTGTGGACACTGGGGAAATCCAGCCGTGTTCTTGCTTGCAGAGCGTGCTTTGGAAAAAAGCTCTCCATACACAGACACTTGCCTGAGTTTTTCAGCTTGTCCCTACAGCTCAGCCCCCAGCCTGGCCACTCCTTGCCGTGGTGTTCACCCAGCACAAAGCCATTTCATAATGGTGCTTATTTAGAGCTCTGGGAACAAACTCGAGATGGTTATGAAGGCTTGTAATGGAGGCTTTGTTACACAGGGATTTAGAGCCCAGCTCCACAACCTGTACTCAAATGAGTATGTTGGTATAAACAGATTTGCTCCCATGAATAACAACAGCTTATCTGAGCGAGGGGTTAGTGAGTTTGGCCCTTGCTTTCTGTTCTGCTGAGAAAGCAGAAAAGCAGATCATTTCTCTTTTTGAACCCCCCTGCTTTATAGTCAGAGAAATCTGCTCCCCTGCTGTGTGTTACATGTAAGATAGATGTGCCTGCAGTGCATGTTCTGTAGGTACCAAAGCTGTGCAGCCCCTTGTGTACAGGTACAAAGTTTTTGTTTAAGAAAAAGCTTTTAATTTAAAGTCTCAGATGCAATCAGGGATCTTAGCTACCCTTTCCGACGTACTGTGTGGAAAACTAGTTAAATCCTAATGTATCCGTGCTAAAGATGTAAAGTCAGTTGATTGATAGAGGACAGGATGACATTCTTGAAGGTCTTTTTAGTGAGGAAACTACAATAAATTAGCTGAGCAGTGGCACTGGGACTCCTGACATGAGCCTGTGCCAAGAACCCACTATGGTTCAATCAAACCTCTTTTCCCATAGCATGAATGTAGCTAGATAGGTGCTTGAACTTCACACCATGTAGTCAGACTGCCTCGTGTACCCATCTGGAGCAGCACAGGTGCCGGCTGCAGCAAGCTGCCTGTCTCTGCCTGTGCTAATGAATACCACGGGCCTCTGTTTTGAGTGGTGCAAGTTGCTGCGCTAAGTATTAAACAGAGGCACAAGCATCTGCTGTGAAACGGATGAAGACCAGTGGCTTGTTAGCACCCTCCTACACGTCTGTATCAGCTTGCCTTGGCTGAAGTGTGAACGTTTGAAACTGCCCAAGCCTCAGGAGCTTGGTGGTTTTGGCGTGGAGTTTCACTGGGCTGGCAGACCCTCTAGCGTTCTGCCCCATCCAGCTGCAAGCGCCTCCACCTGTTGCTGCTGCTCTTCAGGATGGGGACAGCGGCACGTGGCTGGAGGTCGGGGCCGCGCTGGAAACCATCCAGAGCCCCAGCTTTCATGTAGCTTGGCTCTCTGGTGCCGTTTCTCCCGGGGACATGCAAGCCCTCAGTGAGTGGCCGAAAGCTCAAGGCGGGGGACTTTCCCACTGCAGTATACATGGCTCTGGGGCATATATAATGCGGAGAGTTTTATCTGTGATTTTAGAGGAGGTAAAATTGACCCCAAATATGTGAGCTCCCTGGAGCCTTAAATTTGGCCTCCGAATGCTGGATAGCAAAGGGATGGGAACCGACACAAAATATAACTGGTGCTGTATCCAGGCAATATGGATTGGGGGCAACGAAACACCCAGGGCAGATCCTGCAGTGCTCTCACCCTGGCGCAGCGTGTCAGCTTGTGTCCTGCAGCACAGCTGGGCATGGGGGTGGGTGGGAGGTATCTCAAGATGCGACTATAATCTTAGGACTGTCTGAAGGGACTGAAGTGGGAAATAACGCCAGCTGAGTGTCCCTGGTAAATAATTCAGATAGTTCTGGGCCGGCGGTTCCCCTCTCTGAGCTTCTTCTGGCAGCGAAGACCGTGAGATATCAAAGTGGCTTCTGGAAGTGAGCTGGAAACACCAGCCCTGATCTGTCGTTCTGTCTCTGAGAGGCCAGCTACTACATGGCTCATGCTTTTGCTAGCTCTTGATTTTTAGAGCAGCCCCTCACGCACATTTTCTGGCCTTGTTTTGGGAAGATTTGAAAACACTAGTGGGGCTGATATTTTCTTTTTAAGCTGCGGTTTAAACTACTGTCTCACTCTTGCAGCCTTACCAACAACCCCAAAATAAGCAGGCGAGAAGGGGAGGGGGAGAAGGACAATTTTCCTTCATGAAAAGCCTCGAGCAGCCCGTTTGTGGAGCCTCCTTTGCATCAACAGAAAGTTTGGCCTCTGCTCCCACAAGGTGTCTTGTTACTCCTGTCAGCCATCCCGTATCCCTCAGCGCTGGGGAAATGAAGGCTGCCCTACTTTCAGTTTTGAGGTCCAGTGTAAATTATTAAGTGCGAATGCTCTCCTTTCCTGTATTTATGAAGAGCTAGAAACAACAATGTGAAGCAATTGAAAATGGACCGTGTGAGTTGGTGGTTCTGAAGCTAAAGTGTCTGCTGTGTTGCCCTGCTCCCCGACGTGTGCTAACTTGCACCGCTTTTATCTTTGGGAGTTTGAATTCATTTAAGCTCCTTATTATTCCTGCCTTTTCTCCTAGGCTGTGGGTGTCTGAGTCCGTGTTGATTGTCCCCAGCTTGTCCCCAGCTCTGCAGCTGCCTGATGGTGGGTCTGGTGGGGAGGCAGGGACATCGTGCACAGAGGAGGCTTCTCCTCCTCCGGACCCCCCACCAGGCATCTGTGGAGCTGCAAGCCCTCACTGCCTGCCTTCAGGCAGCTCCCCCAAAGGCAAAAACGGGCAGGCAAGTAACTGGAGCTGGAGATGTGAGGCTTTTGCGTGCTCTGCAGAAGAATTTGTGAAAACGGGTTAAATTCTGCCTGTCACCTGGCTGATATGCATTGGGTTTTGCTGTTCACATGAACCTTGTTGTCTTTTTATTTATTAAGATGCTGAAAAGTGCCATGAAAAGTTAGTCTTAATTTCTCCCCCAGCATGCTCTTCTGACTGGTTTTAGGGTAAGGGACCCTTGGAAGTCCCATTGTGCTGGTAATGAGTAACTCGCATGCAAGTAGTTGTTAAGTGAATTCCCTGAAACTTGCTTTCAGGAGCCAGAGCTTAATAGATATTTTCTTTCAGATCATGCTGTTAAATTTCAATTGTTTAGAATACAGAAACTCATTTAAATAGGGATTTTTGCATAAAAGCCAGGGGAAAAGCCCCAGCTATAGAAGCAGCAGACATTTTTGTGTCATTTAAAGTGTAAGAAACACCTGTGATCAAAGTGATTTAGGAAACTGCCCTGATGTTAAATGCAGGGAACAGCATTTTCAAACACCCTGGTGAGGAGCGTTTGATGAGGTCTGTGGCTCTTCAGTTTCTGAGTTTCATTTGGGGGCTTTTAGAATGTTTTCACAGTTTTTCAGGGTTTAAATCATTTTTTTGTAGATCTTTTTACTGCAAAGTGAATAGCTCCTTGGTCTGGAAATGGTGGAGTCTCATCAGCATCAGGTGTGCTATGGCAGATGTGAAAGGGGGAAACTGGGCTCTTAGGAGCTGGTACAGGTCTGGCTGGCTGTTCGAAAGGAAGGGGTATCTCTAGCTGCTGAGAGAGGAAAGTAAATATCTTCCTGTGCTTTCTCCTTGTGCTGATTTTTAGCACTGGGCAAATATTTGGCATCCCTGAATTTCAGTATTTGGATCTGTTCGTAAGTACTGCTGTGACCTCCTCTTCCTCCTGTGAGTTCACAGCCCTGGGGAGGATCACAGGCGCACTCTTACTCATTAATTTAGCCCTGATTTTGTACTCTGTATTTCCCTGGAAATTTTACCACTTTATTATTTAAGCAACAGCAAAACTGGGTCCTTGCTTAACGGAAACTGGACACACACTCCCCATCCTTACTTGAACACTTTGACCTAATCCTCCAAATTACCTGAGTATCAGCCTGCTGCTGGTCGATGCAGCGGCAGCTTTGTACTCTGCTGCTGTTGCTAAGAAAATCACATGAAGGACTCTATCTGCATTGATCTTGAAGTGCACAGGCAGGCAATCCCACTGAAACCAGTAAGGCTGCGCACATGAAAATCAATGTGTGTGCGTAGGTCAGTGGTGGATCAAGGGCAGAGTGATTTTATTACAGACAAGACATACCTGGGGATGAATCTGCGGCAGTGTAAAAGTTGCCTCGAAAAGATCGCTGAAATGGACTGCCACCTTTTTTGTTCAATAAACAAAAATAATTACTGACGCAGTGGGGATGCATGGGGAAAGGAGGATGTGACAGAAAAAATACAGCAGCTGTAGGG